CCATGATCAGAGAGTCCGGTTTTATCCCATGCTTTTTCAGTCACAGTCCAGCTGGCCTTGGTGAGCTCCCAATAGATCAGCCCCACTGTCTCAGTGGGTGGGTGCACCCCTCATGGTCCTGACATCCTTGCTCGTGTTCTCCCTCCATCTGCTCCTCATTGGGACCTTGGGAGCTCAGTCCAGTGCTCCAGTGTGGGTCTCTGTCTCTATCTCCATCCATCACCAGATGAAGGTTCTATGCTGGACAAGGGCTTTATCCCTGACTTTTTAACCTTTACTGTGGCTGTCGGTCATGCTGAAAGATGGAAAAGAATCTTGAAGCTCACGTTTCTCTTTCAACAATGTCAGCTCTGGAGCGAACTAATTCTGTGTAATTTTCTCTCTTTTGCCCTTTAGGATGAAAAGGCTAAAGCATACAAGAAAGAGAAGCAGAAGGAGAAGAAAAGGAGGGCTGAGGAGGACTTGACGTTTGAGGAGGATGATGAGATGGCAGCTGTGATGGGCTTCTCTGGCTTTGGCTCCGCCAAGAAGAGTTACTGAGGCGTTCTCTTTGGCCTAACTTTGGCCTGTGCTGGACCTAACTTTGAGTGTGTGTTGAGGTGGGGTGGGGTGTCATTTCTTTTTGGGTACTGGAGAAAGTCCTTAGGAGTGTTAATGGGCAGGGCTATAGGGTGGGTGTTTGTGGTTTCCCTCTGCATCGGGAGAGGGCACAGGATGTAGAGGGGAAGCTGTGGCAGATTCTGTCAGCCTTGGTATATTATTGGAGTCACAGATCCTCTGCCCATCGTTCCCAATAAAGAAAGACCTCCCTCTGAGGCTGCTTTCCCCCAGTTCCCCTGCATCTTTCCCTCTTCATCTATCCTCCTTTTCCCTGTGTTCTGATTTTGTTCTAATCTTTACTCTTGTTCAGCCTGCGACATAAGGGTTATCTGGGTCTCCAGTACACAGGTGCTGGCGTATGCTTGCCCAGCTCTTCCTCCCGTCCCACCCAGCGGTTCTCTAGCCACGTCTGCATGCATGTGACTTCTGCCTGGGTCAAAGTGTGTGTGGGTATGTGTGCATGATTTGTCACAAAGAGGGGCCTGAGCTAGAATCTCAGGGCATTGCCGCCCTGGGGCCTAATGTTTTTGGTTTTCTCGGTGCATGTAACAGGAAATTAAATGGGATGAGTGTTTGGTGTGGCTTGTGTCTGGTGAGTTTTTAACCTTGTTTCTTCTGTTTCACTTCACTGAGGATTTCTGTTTTTGTCTTCCTCGGGAACAGGTTCTTGGAAGAACCTAATTGATGCAAAAAAGAATGAAACCAACAAGACAAGAACCCTTAAACCAAACAAACAAACAAACAAACAAACTCTGGGAGACCCTGTTTCTCAGACACTGTTCAACATTACAATAAATGGCACTGACTGGGCCTGTTTCACTTTGTTGGGAACCCTTTAATATCATCCCCTGTCCCAGAAGTTTCTACAGTAAGGGTTTCCACATAGAGCCTTCCCCTTGTGATTTGACACCCCCTCCCCCCAGTATAGGTTTCCTCAGTGTGAGTTTT